TTTTGTCCATTCTTCTTGTACCAGGAGTATTGAGCTGCTGGATTAGCATCACTGCTACAGGTCAGAGTCACTGATCCGCCCTCCCTGAATTCATTAGAAGGGCTCACCATCACTGACACAAACTTTGGAGCATCTGTGAGACAAAACATTATTGGGCAAATGATCAGTAATTTGTTAAAATGATGAGGAATTAAAAGATTTTAACAACTGGAACTCTAGTGTTTTATTATCAAATTTTACACCAGAGGTACAGTATAAGATTGTAGATTTACTAGTCATCACTCAAAGATTTATGACAACTGATGCAGTACATGAAAAAGAAAAATAACATTTTTAAAAAGAGAAAAAAATAATTAAATACAATCTTGAAAAGAAGAGAAAAATCTCACTATCATAGAAAAATGTATAAAAATTGTTCCACTCACATTTCCCATCAATAGAAATATATTCAGATGTCCTCCTCCCTAATTTATTAACAGCTATACAGTAATACTGTCCAGAGTCAGAGGGCTCGATGGATCTGAAGACAAGCTGTCGGTCTTCACTAAGAGGTGTTCTTCCACTTATCTTGTACCAGACATACGTAGCTGCTGGGTTAGCTTCACTGCTACAGGTCAGAGTCACTGAGCTGCCCTCTTTGATTTCCCCAGGAGGACTCACTGACACAGAGGGAGGCTTTGGCCCATCTGGAGGAGATATTATCAAAATCAATTAATGTTAATAAGAACACTAAATATAAGTATTGTGGCTGTCTGTATGTTGTTGGGATATATACCCCATCATGGTTATTGTGAGTCCTTACAAAATTATGTAAAATGATGTAGTTATGTAGTCGTCATTCCTGTATGTGAGGTGTAGATCACTGATGACAGATTATAAAACACAGGAACATCACAGTGATGTCAATAAACAGTGAAAATTGTTCCTTTTTTGTGTTCTTGGTGCTTTTTTGTTGCTGTCAAAAAAAGTTCAAACAATATAGACATTTGCATAAAATACAGTTACCTAATGCTTCAGAAGAATTATTGACATATTTTACAGTAAGTTTAACTAGGGAAATGTTAAATAAGAAGTGAAACTATTCAAGAGAAATTAATGTTATTAAAGTTGATTTACTGACATTTCACGTCGATTAAAACAGATTCAGATGTCCTCTTCCCCAGGTCATTCTCAGCTGTACAGTAATACTGTCCAGAGTCAGAGGGCTGGATGGAGCTGAAGGAGAGCCACCACTCCTTACTCAGAGGTGTTTGACCATCCTCCTTGTACCAGGTGTA